TGCTCAGCCATGTTCATTGTTGCTCTAGTCGCAACATCTACAAAATGGAAACAACCTAAATGTCCTTCAACTGACAACTGGATAATGAAAGTGTGTTACATATACGCTATGGAATACTATTCATGTAAAGAAAATTGAAGTAATCAGCTTTGCAGGTAAATGGATGGACCTAGGAAAGATCATATTGAGTGAGGTAGCCTGGACGCAGAAAGATAGACACTGCATGTTCTCTCATAGGAAGTTTCTAGTTCCAAATCTTCAGATATAAGCATACAGGCTGGAGTGACTGCAGTAACCAGAAAAGTAAAAGGAGTTCACTGTGGGGTGTGGGGGAGTAACAGAGATGGAGTAACAGGGAACAAGTGATCTGAAGGGGGAAATGAGACAACAGTGGAAACGGGACAGATATGAACAAAGAAGAATGGTAAAATAACAAGAAGGATGTCTGGAAAATATAAGGAATCCATCTATTCCTTGACTATTATTCATCGATCAAAAAATTCCTACAATACATCTAAATCTCTGTATGCATATGCATTTAGAGTGTAAATGAAGATTTCCCAACTGGGCTATCATCACTCCTCACAAGAGCCACAGATTTTCTAACAAAGCCACCAATACCTGCTTTGAAGTTGTTGGTCACACTTGTCCAAGAGACTTCCAAACATTGCAGGGTATTGCTGTTGCCCATGGTTGCCTCCCAGAGGCAGAAGTTGAGTCCCTAGTGTTTAAGAAGCCACACACTTCTGACACAAATCCTAGAGGACTCCAGATGGAACTGACCTTAAAGCCTCTTCCCTGGGGATTAGCTTTCATGGTATCAGAAGGAAGCGGGCAACCTTCCCAAGGAGGAAGCTAAACAACAGTCTTATCCAGCTATGACACCTATGAACCACAACAGTGATCTGCACTGCATGATAGCCCTAAGGGTGCAAGAGTGGCACACATAATTAGGTGGTAACCAATGGCTTTTAATTGGATTAAGACCCTCTCAACAAGAGGGAAGTCATACCTGGTACTGGAAATATAGTCTGTTTCCCCAGGGCAGATCTTGGAAGAGAACCTACAACCAGACTTTATTAAATCGGCATAACTCCTAGGGCATTCTAAATATTTATCCTAATTTCTAACAGTCAGTAGGAGACAGTATAGATGGAGTGTAGCAGGCTGTAAATATACTTTCTGATTCTTCTCAAGACTCTGTTGGCATTATTTACAGGAACGAAGACAAAAACACTAAAAGGTAGAGAATGTGCTAGAATACCAAAGCTCCAAAATTCTGAAAACAATAAATAAACCTAGAGGTATTTTCATCATTTTTATAGTAAAATCAAAGATTTGAAAATGACTCAGTAATGGTATAAAAACATGATTTGTGATGTGAATGAATAAGGACAGCATCACTCACATGCATAATCAAATTCCATTATCGATTATTTTGTAGAAAGTCTTCTCATGCCTACATTAGGATAATTCTGGGAGTTTCCAGAATTATTTCTTGTGAAACAGAGTGTGGCAAAACTGATTTCATGTCCCACTTCCACATTCTCTTGACCCCCTTTCCACACTTTCACCAATGTCTCCACCACACCTGGATCCTGAGCCACTGTCTCCTCTCTCCTTCCAGACCCTTTGTTCTGCAGCACAGGTGAGCAGGTCTGGGTGATCAGTTAGCCATGAACATGGGAAATAGATTGTTCAGGAAGAACCTGGATTTCTACCACAGTACTGTGCTCAGGAGATGAAGAGAAAAGCAAATACAGGATTATACAAATGATTCCCCAACTGGCCTGCAGTGTGAGAATACTGAAAACAATTAGAAAAACATTTTTATTTATTGTAACTTGAATCCCACTTCCAATCACAGATCAGTCAAAACACAGGGGCGGAACTGGTAGTGAATGATTGGGAAGGGAATATTATAGAGAAGTGAGGTGCTGGATTGATCATGGAGCAATAGTGATGAAGCCTTACACCTCCCAAAGGGGCATACACGAAGAAGACAGAAGATTTCATGAAAATTTTCTTTTTTCCTTTTAGGATTTCACTTTATTTAGTAGGATTTTAGACTCACTCACACAAAGCCCACACACTTGCATGTTAGCTTGTCAAGAAAACTGAGGAGCAAGGGAGAGAGACTGCAAGCAAACTATTCTCAGCCACAGAACACCCCCCCCCACCTCCCCACCCCCCGTAAGACAAGGTTTCTGTGTGTAACAACCCTAATTTCCTGAAACCAGGTCTGTAGAACAGGCTAGACTCGAACTCACAGAGATCCACTTGCCTCTGCCTTCTGAATGCTGGACTAAAGGCGTGCACCACCACTGTCCAGGTATATTGCTGTAATTCTGCAATGTCAGGGTGTACAGTGTAGCAGGGGTTGATTGAAGAAAGAGGGCACTCCAAGATGAAGTTTTAAGGGCCTATGTGGCAGCAGGAAGGTCCAGCCTCTCTGATGAACTGAATCCAAAACACCCATATAAAAGTGTATTTTTTTAAAGTTACACAAAGTATTCCTTCATACCAAGCTTCCTTATCTCATTTACATGTCTTACTAGAGGAAAGCATCACATGCCCCCATGACTTTAGTCCTTTATTATGCATCCTTTGCAAGAGGTGTGCCTGAGGCATCTTGTGACAAGTCTTGGGATGGCTACAATGCCCCTTCAACAAAATGATTCTACAGATCATGGGATACATTCACTGTTTTCCACAAGGATTCTTCAAGGTCAAAGTAATTCCAAAAAAGCGGTTGTTCAATCTGATGTTTACATCAGAAACAGTGATTCTGCTAAATTACTACAACATTTCCCAGGGCAAAGCCCTCAGGGCAGGGTCCAGGCATTGCCACTCCACCTATGAGTAGTCAAAAGCCACACCACTGGCTGTCAACAGACCACAAAATAAAAAACAACAGTTTGAATCATCCTGTTGGTGCACACATTTAATCCTAGCCCTTGGAAGAAACAGGTGAGTGGAACTCTGTGTTTTCCAGTCTAGCCTGGTCTACATGGTGAGTTCTAGGCCAGACAGAGCAACACTATGAGTTCAGGCCTCAACCACAGCAAACAGAACCAAAAAAATAACAGTTTGGTCATGTGTCCATGGACAGAATGCTTTCTTGAACCAACGAGACAAAAGACCATTGGAGACATTTTTCTGATATAGGTGAGTGTAAGACGAATTGCTAAACGTCTTATTAGTTAATAAAAACCTGCAGCCTGATATTGGGGTAAATTTTGAATGATCAGAGGAATAGGACAAACCAAAGCCAACCTCACCTTACCTACCCTAAGCTTCCAAAGAGACCTATTTCCTGTATACCCATGCCTATATTCCTTTCTGTTCCTCTCCGCTACATCACTTCCTCTTCCTGCCCAGCTCTGTTACTTCCTGTCTGCCTGTACATACCTCCAGACCTTTATGGTTAACTAATGTTGGAATTTCAGGTATGTGCTACCACACCTGGCTCTGTTCCCAATGTGGCCTTAAACTCACAGAGATGAAGACAGATCCCAGCCTCCTGAGTGATAGGATTAAAGGCATGTGCTACCATTGCCTGACTTCTGTCTCTAATATAGGGGCTGGCTTTTTTCTCTGATTCTCAGATAAACTTTATTGGGGGAAACAGATAAAATATCACCAGAGGTGATTTATTATATTTATTCAAAGATGTTTTCTAATATCATTCTATATCATAATGTATTTAAATTTATTTTTTCGTTTCCTATTTTCCCCTAAAACAGTTTTTCTAAGCCCGGGCGGTGGTGGCACACGCCTTTAATCCCAGCACTTGGGAGGCAGAGCCAGACGGATCTCTGTGAGTTCGAGGCCAGCCTGGGCTACCAAGTGAACTCCAGGAAAGGTGCAAAGCTACGCAGAGAAACCCTGTCTCGAAAAACCAAAAAAACAAAAAACAAAAAAAAAAAAAACAACCGAGTTTTTCTGTGCAGTGCTGGCTGTCCTTGAAGTCACTATGTACACCTTACCAACCTCCAACTGATTGTGATCCACCTGCCTCTGCCTTCTGAGTGTTGGGATTAAAGGCCTGTGCCACCAGGCCTGGCAAAGACACTTTTCAGAAGTTCAAGGCCAGCCTGGTCTACAAAGTGAGTTTCAGGATAGGCTCCAAAAGCTACGCCGTAGCAAAGACAATCATGTTTGTACAACTAAACATATAAATTCAAATATTCGATTATATTATTCTTTTTTTTTTTTTTGGTTTGAGACAGGGTTTCTCTGCGTAGTTTTGCACCTTTCCTGGAGCTCACTTGGTAGCCCAGGCTGGCCTCGAACTCACAGCGATTCGCCTGGCTCTGCCTCCCGAGTGCTGGGATTAAAGGC